AATGCTTAACGGTTTAATCCATGCGTATAACAGATTTTAGGCAGGGATTAAACCTTAACGGCAGTAAAAATTTAATAAAAGATTTTAACAAGTAAAAAAAAAATAATGTAAAATTTTTTACTGAGTAATAATTACTTATTATTTTTAAAAACCGTGAAAACCTCATATCTTATACTAAAATTATAAATCATATCATATACTAAAATTTAAAAAAATCTCCATAGAATATTATCTAGCTTTTAACTATGTTGCAATATGTTTGTTTTTTTTAAAAAAAAAAAAAAAACAAGTTTAGTTTTCATAAAAGCTTTTAATTTTGGATTCAAGCCGACTTCAAAATAAATCAATTTTATTAGTTCTTAATAAATATTATAGGATGTTGTATTGTTTAAATTATTTTTGTAAAACCTTATGATTAAAGTTTATTAAATGTTATGGTTGTAAAACGAAAGTTTTAGCATGATGAACGAGCTACTAAATATCAAATTTTGACGATTTAATTATTTATCATAAACTATTTTTCAAAATGATTTATTCGCCTAAGGCATAGAAATGAAACTCCTAATTTTCAACATTTGTTTTAATTATGAAACTAATAAATTCAATAAGTTTTTTTCGATTTTATTTACATTTATTGGACAAATTTATTATTTCAATTAAATAGTCAAAAGTTTGGCAATAAATTATACAAAACGTATCTTTGATCTCAAATTTTCAATATTTGCAGTTAATTCATATTTAAATGCTCGTTAACATAAAAACAAACATGAAAATCTTTTTTTATTATTTATGCCGGTAGGAGGCAAAAACTTCCATCTTCTATTTAGCGGCCGCAACCAGCAGGGTAGCAGAAGCTACAGGAGGCGGTTTCCAAATCATTCACGCCTTATTGGAGTCGTTAGCCAAAACATTTTGCTTGAAAAAAAAAAAAAACTCTGGCTGCGACCGCCAATAGAAAGGCGGAAACCAGAACATTTTTTAGCTAAAAATTTATTGGAAGGCAGCAGCCAAATGTAGCAAATGAAAGCCGTGCAAAATCAAGAGATCCGTGGTTTGACTCCACACGCCTCCTTGCTTACCAATTTCGCTTATTAGGCCATGGCCTTATATAGTATGTTACCAATGTTTTAAACTAAGTAGATAGTGTAGAGTAGACATTAAGACATGCAGAGAGAACAAATAAGGTTTGGTAAGACATCAAAGGTCGTTACAGACATCAATACTACGCTTTTCATTAGCTTCAAGTGAATTTCAAATGCGAAATAAATTTCGCCTTCGAAATCCTCCAAAAAAAGAGAAACAAGTTATTTACCGTTAGGTAAATGCCGCAAACAAGGCCGCTACATGCTGATTGGAGCTGTGTAAAATGAACTTATATACTATGTATTGTTTTACTTGTGGCTTTTGTTTTATTCGTAGTTTTTTAAACAGTCGAAATTATATCAGAAGACTAGAATTAATAATTAAATTTATGTAAAGTATTTAAAAAAAAAAAAAAACATTTATGTAATACAGGGGCGGAACCACCGATTTTTTTGGACTGAAATGTCGTATGTCTTACGTTGTCCGCTTTAATAATGAATTCATTTAAAGCGTTTTGATTCCAGCGGTTCTCTACGACAAGACCTCAAGGACTTCTTCGAGTTTCCGCATTCTTTATTCCTAATTTTTATTGTTATATTTATTGCTATATTTCTATTGTTAACGAAATCTTTATTGTAAATATTATTTCTTTTATTTTTATGTTTTACGTTTTATTCACATAAAGTTATAATAGAAATTGTAATAATGATTGTAATAAAGAATAAAAAAAAAAATTTAAAAAAATTAAAAAAATAAAAAAAAAATAATTAGTATTTCGGTATTTTTAGTTCTTTGTATACTTTTTTTCGTGGGTAAAAAAACTGAAAAAAAAACTTTAAATGACTCCTAAAATACGAATAATAAGAACTGTTTAATTAAAAATAATTTCAATTGAAAGAAGTTACTTGAATTTTTAAAACATGTTTTGAAAAGTAGTTTTTTTACTAAGATTTCTTTTTTTATATATATATATATAAATTTCCATGTTCCATTATTAACACAATGCTTAACAAAGTATGACGTAATTTTATAGCTTCATTGGTTTAAAAGCGTATGACTAATACTCTAAAAAAAACTCAAAAGTTTTACAATTTAAACATGTACCCCCCTCCCCTCTTTCATCTCCCTTCTTTAATAAAGTCTACTATTGCCGAATCAAAATCCTAAAATTCTGCACTTTCCCTTAACTAGATGATCATAATCCCCCATTGTCGGAAAGGTAAATAAATAAACAACCTCGCAATGTTATTTTAATAAGACACAATTAAAACGCAAATTTATTTAAGTGTCGGTTTATTGAAAATAAGGTAAAAGTTTAAATACATTTTACTAGTGTTAAAACGAAAAGGTTCAACGTTAATAAAGATTCACACCCATTCGCGTGATTCAAAATGTGACTAATACGTTTAAAAAAACGATACATTAGCATTTTGAATTGAAATGTAATTTTGAAACTCATTATAATTAAAGAAAAAAAAACCACTTTAACGTTTAGTTTTTTTTGGTACGTTTGCATTTTGTAATTTTGCAAGAAATCGTGCTTTAAAATGCAACAAAAACGTTTTAAAAAACAGTATATTAGTACTTTGAACATTATTAATCACTAGTTTGTCTTTTAATTCACGCGTTTCATTGGCTTTTTTTTATTACGATAAGCTAAACTACCTAATGCAAATTTAGCAAAATAATATATCCAAAATTATATTATGTATTCATTTTTAGCATATAACATAGCATATAGTTTATGTTTTTAAATTACTTATGTTTTTAAACGTAGTGTACTATAAATGCTTTTTTTCAAGGTTTCTTTTAGGGAATCATAAGAATTCTTTATAGTTTAAAATATAGTTAATAAATACTATTTTGTTAGTAATAAACAGTTTGGTCGTCGCGCGAGACTAACAACAAATTAATAACCTGAAAGGCTACGGTGGAACAAGGTTCAACCGTAGCCTTCCAGGTTAATAATTTTAACTGTGCTTTAAGGTGTCTTTTAATAGAGGAGTTAATTGTGTTAGACTTAATGATTAAAAATATACTTATAATAAATAAAAAATACGTGCGCACGCAGGGCCGACGACACGGGTTATGAAGTAAGGGGGAGGGGCAAAACCATCAATTTGTGAAAAAAGTTCTCTATATCAAGATTTTTCTTAAAAAAGAGAAAAAAAGAAGAAGAAAAAGGGGGATGGCACGTGCCCCTTGCCCCCCCCCCCCGTGTCGTCGGCCCTAGTACGTTCTAAATATTTATTTTGAAGTAAATAATGATTTCTAAGACTTATAGAATAAAAAAAAAATAAAGCTACTTTCATACAGTTGAAAATTTAGTAATTTACAAAAGAAAAAAAGTAAGCAATTTTATAATGAAAAATTGAAGATAGCAAAACTTAAAAAATGGGGCTTTAAAAGCGATTACGTAAAACTAAAAAAGTTTTCTAATATAAAAAGAGATCGGTCATTTTTTTATTTTTTTTTATTTGAGTTTTCATGCTATATTTTTCTATACAATGTTCTTATATCCGAAGATATTGTTGGCTTAGCATAGGAACAGCCACAAATAGTCATTAAGACTAAACCAAAGTAGCGTCCGTTATTGACCAACATTTTTGCGTACCAAAGTACTACTCAAGCGCTGAGTCGGCGGTGGCCGGATTTGAACTCGTATCGTTCTAGAGTCCGGGTTTTACAAAAACTACATGATTTTACCGCAAAAGCTGACTAAATTACTGTTTTTTTAAAAGCAATATGTTTTTATTGAAAAGTTGTATGCCGTCAACACTCGTAGCCCGTGGCTAGATTGCTTTTTGCTTTGTGGCTGTACTTATTTCCCAGTCGTTTTATGGCCAGCTATTTTCAAATAAGTCAAGCGACTGTATTATTTTCTTAATAAGTTGGTAATTATGGCGGATATGTTTTGAAAAAAATACTGTTCCAAATTCTTCTCATATTCATAACATAAAATGTTGCGAAAAAAATTGTTTACAAAACCAAATGGTTTAAATATCTCAACAGTTTAATTTCATGGTTAAACGTTTGGCATGGAGATGCTCGAGCAGATCTAATATAAATGTTATTATACCATATTTTAAAATGCATCAAGGTTTTGTAGCTTCAAGATATATTCTTTAACTATGTTTTCAAGAACTATATTTGTTATACAAAGATGACATGCTTTTTAAAACGTTAACTATGTTTACTTATATGCAACTGTTTCTGTGCTCATTGTTATAAAATTCTTATAAAAATTAACTAAAACATTCTTATTTTATTATTAGGTTAATACTATTGATAATAGTATTGTGCGGCCATGACGCAGTAGTTAGAGTGCTTGCTTTAAGCAGGTGATCCAGGCTCGAAACAAGCCTTGGATAAATTTTCGCGTCACGTTAAGAAAGGAGGCGTGAACTTTCTGGCTAAATGCACATCCTCGGTGCTCTGTGACCCTAACCCTAACCCTAACCCTAACCCTGACCCTGACTCTGGGGCACCTAAATATCAATAAAATAAAAGAAAATAGTTTTGTCACCGAGCTACTCAGATAGCAAGGATATTATGGTCCCGCACTGATTTTTCATGGACCAGTTGTGGCTAGCCAGCGATGGCAAAAACAGCGGCTAGCCAGTGGCAGAACAACGATAAGCCATTTTTACATTCGTATTTTACCGCACCATTGTGATTTTGTCTTTGTTAACTAACTGGGTCGCGCATGAGGTTGTTACGGATTTTCATCGAGAAATCTTATTTGAAGTTCATTTAGACCCGGTCTTCTGAATTATTTAAAGTTGTTTTTAGCAGAATCGACGGTAATTTTTTGGTTTAAAATTGGCGTATTTTTTATTAGTTTAAGGACAATAAAATGTATAAAACACATGATTATTGACAATTTTAATTATTATGAATAAGTTTAAAAAACAGGCTTAAATTTTAAAATATATTTACGCAATTAAAATACAAAGATTTGATTCATAACCATTTGAGAATCGTGCTTTTCTGCGATTCATATCCAATCGACAACATGATTCGTTATAAATTTTTGCTTCAATTTGTAACGCTATTGTCTTCTTTAGTGCTTGCATCTGTTTTAACTTTAATAAAATAAAAACAAACAGAAGCACTACTTGATAACTTATTACATATATAATTATACAATATAGTAACAACATATATACAAAATGGCCACAACTTATAAACAACATGGTTATCATGTTAAAATAACAATTATTTTTATTAATGACAAAAAAGTTCAATCCATTAACAACAAACTTTTTTACATAGACTTGACTTAAGGATCTTTTGTGAACTAAACTGTAACTTTGTGAATTAAAATCTAATAAATATCACAATGAAAATTTACAATTACAACCAAATGCAGTATACTAACAAATATATTTATTAAAAGATGTGGTACATAGATTATTATGGATCAAAACTCCATTAAAAATTTCATGTCTTGAGATTTGACATTTCTAGCAGATTCTAGATAAAGTATATGACGCAATTCAAAAAGATAAGTTCAAAGATAAATAAAACCGTGAATTGTTTAAAAGCATTTTAAAATGATTACTAAGTATAGTGAAATTGTTTCCATTATAAAACAAAATGATAAACATTATCGAGCTATTGAAAAATGCTTGTTGCATTGTGAAGAAAAACTTAAAAGAGATCGAAAGAAAGTAGAAAAACATGTTATAACACAAAAAATATATATATTAGGGAGTTTAGTCACGTGATTATTTATCGCGGAAAAAAACTTTCGGTTTGATATTGAAAAACTTCGTCCAAAATACGAAGGAAATGATTTTATGTAGGTGTCGAAGAATAAAAGCCCACCCATGAAAATTATTTATATACATATATATATTGATGTATTACTTTTCAGAAAAGAACGTAAAACATTTATTTATGTGATTCTGACAGTTTTCTTTTGAATTGAAAAAGTTATTCTCTTTTAAATTATTCAATTTTGTGTAAATACGAGTAAATTAAGATAGTTCATCTGGAATCACGTGAAAGTAGGTTCTGCAGCTATTTATTTGTTATGTACATAACTTTTTGATTTTAAAAAAAAGTTTATATAGGGTGGGTTTTTTGTTTTCTTTAAAGTGATTTTTAGAAATACGGGGGTATTTTATTTAAACTTTTATTAAGCGCACAGCCCTTAACTAAGTGATAACTTTCTGCGGATTTCTTCGTTACTCTACCATTCAATCTTCCATATGGAAAAAAAGATCTGTTATTTTTATTGAACATTATTATACATACATTTTTGTAATGCTGATATTAATTTAGTACGATTTTGGTTGATATATCTAGCTGAACTTTTTTGATAAGTATTTATTATTAACAAGATCTATTAAATCATTTACTCAAGACTTCAGTTAATATAAACTAAATATAAAATTAGAAACAAATTACTCCAGTGAAGTAATTTGTTTCTAATTTTATATTCAGGTAAAAATTTGTAGTCAGTAAATAAATAAAACTATTTTTTTACTGATAAGTAGATAAAAAGATTTAAAGTGTTGTTAAATCATCTGTATATTTATCATTAAGTTTTTTATTATTTTAACTTACCTGTAAGTTTTATATATAACATTGTATACCGTGAACCGGGGTGACTATGAACAACGGGGTGAAAACGAACATCAATACCAAGTTTACTAATTGGTGAAGGATAGTGAATGGTATAACTAAATAGTGTGTTATTTTGATTCAGATGACTTAAATATAATATAAAGAAGTTAATTTTTAGCTGCCCTCAAAAAATTTATTTTTCACCTACTTTAAACATCTCGTGTAAGTCTCAAATAGTGGTTCTGTGGTTCGAGCAATTAAACTATCTTAAATATCTTAAAAACTGCTAACTTTATAAAAATTAGCGCACATCAAGTTCAAATGCATATTGCTCTAATAAAAATATAAATTATGGTATAACTTGTCTTTTTCAGATTTTATGATCATTTAAAAATGACTTTTCTACAAATAGTTTAAGTTTTCTTCTGCAAACTTTAGGAACTATGATTCGAAGTTAAAAAAGAAAAAAAATTAGCTAGGAGTATTAAACAAAGTACAGGCAATATTTTATTTTATTATACTTTCACAGTTTTCAAAAAGAACACATTAAACAAGTTAAATAACACTTTGAGGCTAAAAACTATAATTAACGGACTTTGAGCAACTTAAAATAATGGACTTTGAGCAACTTAAAATAATGGACTTTGAGCAACTTAAAATAATGGACTTTGAGCAACTTAAAATAACGGACTTTGAGCAACTTAAAATAATGGACTTTGAGCAACTTAAAATAACGGACTTTGAGCAACTTAAAATAACGGACTTTGAGCAACTTAAAATAACGGACTTTGAGCAACTTAAAATAATGGACTTTGAGCAAAATGCGTACAAAATAAAAAATTAAAACATCATGTATTGTTCAAAGTCATCCCGAATCGGCTGTTCATTCTCACCCCATTTTGGAAATACGGATATGGTCATATAGAACCAGAAAGTTAAGGTATTTACTGCATAGTGCTTATCAGGCCTAGGAATAATTCAGGAAGCTGAAAAGTATAATGTTCTGTTACAAAAAAAAGGGTAGCGACTAGGCCAACAGTTTTCTTCTATGACACAAAAATGTTTCAAAAGCGTTCATAGTCACTAAGGTATATCATACTAGAGCCAAAAATTAAGTTTTTAGAATTTTGACTAGCACGCTTGGATTCCTATGTATTTGGGTATAGGGAATTCAAATATAATAATATTTTTACAAAATAATGATGTCTAGCTACCGGGAAACGGGTTTTAAAATTAGGGTTTTTTCAAAAATTAGTCTATTTTAACTAAAGCCTAATTTTGGAAAGGTTTTAGTCAATTAATACTAAAAATTAGAATTATATTAGGTAAAAAGTAAACTATGTGAAATAAAACAGATATAATTATTATTTAACTTCCAGGATTCTAGATCCAGAGAGCGTAAAAAGGGCTACGGCTCCCCTCCCCCTTTTTTTTTTTCAATATTTGATAGTTTTATTATGATTATAAGATCAAGGTATATTACAATTATTATATATATATATATATATATATATATATATATATATATATATATATATATATATATATATATATATATATATATATATATATATATATATATATATATATATATATATATATATATATATATATATTCCCACACACTGGATTCTCCCTCAAACTTACTCAAAATACCCGTTTAAATTAAAAATCTTGCTGTTGTTTTTTTGCTACAAATTTTTTTCAGCCCCCTAACATTCTTTTAAGATCAACATAAAAAACAAGAATTTTTTCAAACATTTAATGTTATGCACAACAAAGTTTAAATAAAATCAAAAAATACCAAATTAGTAATTAATTAAGCTACTGAAAGTCTTTTTTTGATTTAAACAAAGGCATTAGTTCACGATTTCGCAATTGTGTTCTGATAAAACCATCTCTTTTATCCCAACCACAGACTGACTCAGCTGCTTCTGTGACTAATTTGACTGCTCTCTCGCAACTTTGAGTATGTAATGAGTATGGAGGTAGCTGCAGGGGAGAAACTATCAATGCATTGAGTTGGACTAACGACATGTTTGTAATGAAAATTGGTTCAGTAACAACCTCTTTTTTCCAATCAATAAGTTCTTTAATGTCACATGCATCAAGGTTTATCGTTTGTGGAACTTTAAAAGGTCTAACATCATTTGAGCCCAACTCACTTCCCTTCCTAACGGCCAATATTGTGTCGACTGCAAATAACCTTTGTTCTGAGTTATCAGAACAGAGAAGCGAGACAAGTATATTCTCAGGATGAGCCCACCAAGATTCATTTCTGAGATAAAGTTTAGATGCTTCTTTAATCCTATCATCTTGCTTCTGCCAAAGTCGAAACAGCTTTAAAAGATGACAAGAACCGTATTTAATGCCATGCTTTACTTTTATCTCAAAGAATATTGGAAGATAAACCTGAGTCACCCAAGTTGCAAGCAGTCTTAAGATCTCTGCATTAACAAGTTCAAGATCATGCTTACTCATATAGAGAAGCAAGCATCTCATGCCACAAGTAAGCCATCGACTCTGAGACAATCTACCACATTTAAGGGCTTCTACTTCAGGATCAAGCTTTCCTTTCAGAATTGCATTCAAGTACTTCCATGCAACTAAACTGTCAGTGCGCATTTGCTTTAAGAAATCTTCACTGACATTAACAAGAGGCTCCAGAAGCAAAATAGGAGTAAATTGAGTAATTCTTTCAAGATTATCAACTTTGGAAAATAGTTTACCTACTGCTCCACACCATCCTTTATCTGAAGAAGTTGGTCCATCAAGTTTTTCAAAAAAGCAAAAAGATCTAAAAAGTTTTCGATTGAGAAGTTCTTCCACAAAATGAATCATTCCACCTTTCCATTCAGACATTTAATTACTATCACTGCCAATTAGTTGGAAATTAAGATCTTTCCATTAACCAGTTGAATAATCCAATAGTAACCTCTACTACCAAACTACCAAAAGTAACCTCTTTCCATTAACCAGTTGAATAATCCAATAGCACATTGCTTGGCTGGTTTAGATGTTTCTGACTTAAGCTTTGGTGTATAATGAGTAAGGTAACGACCTCTAGGTTCTTCTGTCACAGTTATATGATTTTCTTTGATAATTTTTTTTCTGAAGGTGCCTGTGGTTTTATCATGGATAAGAATTAAAGTTTTGTCTTTTCTACCATCAACAAAAATTCCAGTGATTATATTTCTTTCACAGTCGAAATTTTCTTCTATTCTGGAATACTTCATAGCACGCTCTTTGGCACGAAAAACTTTCATGCTATCACATATAAGATTTTTTTTATCTTCAACAAGTTTCCCTGCTTTCATAATATCTTTCAGTAGACCATTAATGATTGCAGCAGTAGCAGTCGATGATACACCAAATCTAACAGAAGCAACGGCAGCATTACTAATATCAAGGTAGTTTCGCTTAACATAATTATCTTGCTTTTCTATGGTCGAGTCCTCTTTGCTATCACTGACTATATCACTATCACTAACTTTATCGATATCACTGACTTTTTCACTATCACTGACTATCACATCATTTGAATTATTACGCATTTCTATTGTAACATCCACATTTTCAACATCAAATCTAACTGCCGGTGGATAAGGTGTCTCTAATGACTCTAACTTAGATTTTGAAGCTTCTTCTCGTTGTCGTGCGAGTCTAGCTTGATTGATTGACTTGCGTAAGTGTTTTAACCTAAGTTTTTTCTCTTTAACATCCAAACCAAATTCTTGCATAGATGAAATACTGCCTTGTTTTTCTCGCTGGTTTTTTATCCAATGAGCTCTTTTTGAGGAATTCTTAAATTTAAGTCACATTTGCAAAGGCAATGAGCACCGCTATCACAAGATTCTTTGCAAGGGGGATCATTC